GGAGCTCAAAAGTGTGGGAACGTTTTAAGAAAATGAAAGGGAAACCTGTGCAATGCAATATCTGCAGAGCAGAACTTGCCTTCCACAGCAATTATTTTTTAGTTAGCATATAGCTAAAATCTAACCATGGTTATATAATAGCAGCATTCTGGTGTGATAAACTCTGTTTTTAAATTCAGTTAACATGATCCGATTATCGACTAATCGAAAAAATAATCTGTGATTAATCGATTAAAAATAATCGTTTCTGACAGCCCTACTTTAGACCCCTTCAAACTCATAACCCAGCTTATTCTCAGATTTTGGCACCTGTGGGCTTTTTTTCTTCTACCATTTTAAAATTGATGGTCAGATRAAGTAGGCAGGAAGTTGACTGAACATGTGGAGAAAAACTATTTCAGTTGCAAACATTGACGTTGGCTGTGCGTTCAGGGCCTGCGTCCTTTGAAGGCCAAATTTTTCATCCCCTTACATCACTGCACCGCGCCAATGGCTGTCCAAATCCAAAGACTCCTYTGAGTGCGGCCCACAGATGTGTCGTCTGGTGTAAGGGCGGTAATAAAGCTAAAAGCTAGACCGTCCAAATTCTGTCACTTTTTTTCTGGTCTTTGTGGTCAACCAAGGACCCGGCCCACCTAGACCGGATAGGCTGGTCCTTGAAGGATGCAGCCACTGAATTTGGACACAGCCATTATTAAAATTTAATAATCAGCAGTTCTGGTCATTTGCTGTTTTTACCCAAGGTATTCTGCTTGTTCTCTGAGTAATCATTGGTTCTGAATCTATTCATTTTCAAAGTTGGGGTCTCCGATAAAACCAGCTGCATAAATTTGTGTTAATTTTTGATTTTTTGAAGTGTTTGACCATGATTTGTTTCTGTAGGAGGAGGAGGGTCTTAGCATGCTCCAAAAAGAGAGGAACCTGCGCACACAGCTGGAGGCTCTGAAGAAGGAGAAGACCCAGCGGATGCAGCAGCTGAAAACTCTGTTGGAGCAGGACCAGGACCTGTGTGACATTTTGTGCTCGATGCCGTACGGCATCAACGCAGACTCCGTCCCTTCCCTCGAACAGCTGCAAAACTTCCAGCAACACATTGCAACCCAGAATAACGAGAAGGTGAGAGCACCTGTGTCTTCTCTGTTATCGTCCATGAACAAAGAGCATCTGTTCATTTATCTGTTGTGTTAGCAAAATAACTTCTGAACCAGGACTAAATTTAATGAAATTCTCAGAAAAGAACCACTGGATTATAATCTACAACAGATTTAACTTTCGGAGTCAGCCCCATTCAACTTTAGCAAACACAAAAAGGCTTTACTGAGTCAGTTCTACTGATATTGAACTAAAGTTTATGGATTTTTTAAATTTAATTCTTAATTACAAGTCAAAACATGGCGTTCATGTTGTTGTGAGCCATACACAAGTTATATTGGAGCTAAAACTAATAGTGGTGTTGTGTCCACTTGTTTTACATCAAATGTCAATATTCATTGTTCATTCAGCAGACACTGGTGTCTTATAGACTACACCCTACCTGAACAACTGTTTTATAGATGAGTACCCAGTGAACGTCACTACTAGTAATATCATTATAAATTGAGTAAATCAAAAAGTATTTTCTGACTGAATATTTCATATTAATTCCTGAGTTCTAAATCTTTTTTTGAAGTGTTTTTTATTTCTTTTTGCAGGAGCTGTAAATTCACTCGTGTGGTGATTTACAACAGYTGAATCATTATTTAACCCAGTGGTGGTCTCTCCTTTCCAGGCAAAGAGATATGCAGAGTTCATGGAGCTCAAGAAGCAGATCACTTTGCACATGGAGGAGCTGGACYGCATCCCGGAGACCAGCTTTGAAAAGGATGTCGTCTGCGAGGACGAGGACTCTTTTTGCCTTTCCAGAGACAACATCACGGCTCTCAAAGTGCTGCTTTGTCAGGCAAGATGTTTTCATTGGAACTCTACGTTACGTTTTTTAAAMTTCAATTTGAATTTGAATCAAATAAAAACGAGTTTTACACATTATGTTAAAGTCTTGAAAGCTAATCTGCTGTGTACAGCATTTTGGATATTTTTGTACACCTTAGCTAAACATCATATTGATCCTGCAGCTGGAGGAACGTAAAGCAGAAAACGAGGCGACGTGTGAAAGTCTCAGAGAGAGGATCCAGCAGCTGTGGGACCGACTGCAGGTTTCTCAGGAGGAAAGAGAGGCTCTGAATGAACACTTGGTCTCTTCCAGGAAGAGGAACCTGGAGGCGGTGAGAAAACTGAAGGCACTGCTGTGTGCTTTACATTTTTCTATGTGCATTGTTGCCCCCTGCTAAATGCAACATTTTAATAAGAGTGTTTTGTTTTTTATTTTGTATGAGTGTGGGCATGCACAAAGGTAAATTTGTTTGCAACAATAGCAAAGTATCTTGTGAATCACCAGATAAATTTCAAAGAAACTTGCAGAAAGTAATCATTGGGTGTACGCTTATTGAATTACCAGAGTCAACTCAGTTCAAATTGCAATTCAAACAGCTAAGTGACATTAAACAAACTTAAAAATGTCTGTAACTTGGCCAGTTTTAAGCTAACATTTGATGTGGTTATATGAGCTATAATTTCCAGCACATACTCATAGCCCTACACGCTGTGCAATATTTTAGCATTACCTGTTAAACACTTCTCTATTAGCAGCATTTTTAATTGACCTTTTTATGTTTACTGATGCCATGCTCAGTGTTAGTATTTTGGGATGTATTGTGGTCTACATATGTTTATGTGTGCTTCTGGTTTGTGGAAATACACCAGTGTTCATATCTGCCCATGTTTCAGCTGTGCTCTGAAGTTGGTCCAACATCTGGTAACATTTAACACTAGGGTTGGGCAATATTGGCAAAAAAACGAATCACGATTAATTGCGGTATTTAGCTGATAACCATTAATTTGAAGATTAATCCCCTGGAGTCCCTGGACACCCTCATGTCCTAGTCACATGACCAATTTAGTTGGATAGATTTGCTGCCATGATGCAGTTTGCTTGGCATCTGAAACTATGTTTCCGTACGTCTGTCCGTTTTATTCCTCTTTTCCGGGGTCGGGTCGTGGGGCAGCAGCCTAAGCAGAGTTCCCTCTCCCCAGCCACTTGGACCAGCTCCTCTGGGGGAATCTCAAGGTGTTCTCAGGCCAGCCAAGAAACATAGTCCCTCCAGCGTGTCCTGGGTCTTCTTCTGGGTCTCCTCCCAGTGGGATGTGCCTGGAGCACCTCACCAGGGAGGCGTCCAGGAGGCATCCTAACCAGATGCCCGAGCCACCTCAACTGGCTCCTCTCCAYGTGGAGGAGCAGCGGCTCTACTCTGAGTCTCCTGGATGACTGAGCTTCTCACCCTATCACTAAGGGAGAGCCCAGACACCCTGTGGAGGAAACTCATTTCCTCAAAATATATTTTTAATCTGAAAAGAGCTTCACTGAGTGAGAACTAATGTTGAGAGCTCAGCAGACAGTTTAAGTTTCACTTTCACCCAAGAGCCTGCAGGAGTCATGGGCGGGGTGTGTGGGGTGGGGAGTTGTGCTACGTGATGAGGAAGTTCGGCTTAAAGACACGTCCCAGGAGCGTTGCTGGTACCAAAAGGCGTTTCTGGTCCCCACCTGTCGTTTTGCTCCTCAGCATGGCTGCCTAAAAACACTGCAGGATTTCTCAAACATGCATGAATGAGTCAGAGCAAGGCTTTGGGCATGTTTTTATGGAGCATAACATTATAACATGATATAAAACTCAAAGTTGATTTTACATGATATTGCCCCTTTAAGTCTAAAACTTTGGCTTGAAAGGTGGCAGGAGATATGCATTAGGGCTGGGCAAAATCGTATTGTGTGCAATGAATTGTCAGAAATACTTTGAATTATTTTTGGCAATTGGCAATTAATACGATTTAATGCTGCCGGGCGCTCCTCTTCTTTCTTCTTCTAATCCCAATAATGGATCTCCTGCTTCCTCATCAAAGTCCTCACTCTGTTTCAGACTGGGTTTTTTTTCCTGAATTTGTTCATCTTTTACTTTCTTCCGCTTCAAATATGACTTTTTTTTATGTGCCATAAATTATTTATCGTAACTCCGGTTTTACTTGGCCTATTAACACCATTTAAAAACGAATGTATAGTTTGAAGTCTGTACTTTGAACACACATTGGGACAGATTTATTTAGGAGAGCATATCTTTCCCACTAGACTGATTTAAATTGGTCATGTGACTAGGACGCTGGTGTCCGGGGGATTAATCGTTATATTGTTGTCACAATTAATCACGATTAATTTTTATGCCTGTATTGCCCAACCATAATATTCCAATAAGAATTACMATTAAGAATAACACCTTAAAATTCTTGTTTGTCTAAATTCCCAACCAGCTCTGTCCTCTGGTACCAGATTAGTCGTTTTATTGTTTTAAATCTTTTTTTTCCCTTTTTCTTTCAGTTACAAGTAGAAGTTCAGCGTTTGGAAGAKCTCAAACTCCAAAACATCCGTAATGTGACGGACGCCATCCGTTCTGAGATCGCTGTGTTTTGGGAAAAATGCTTCTTCAGCACCGATCAGCGGCAGGCATTTGCTCCTTATTTTAGCGGTGAGTTTTTGTGTTGAACCGTAACATTAAAACAACCAAATAGAAATGAATTTGGTACAAGTTTTGTAATCACGTTTAATTGTTTTGTAGAGGACTTTAACGAGGAGTTGTTGGCTCTGCACGACGCTGAGGTTCAGCGTTTAAAGCAGCATTATGAAGATCACAAGGAGCTTTTTGAAGGAGTCAACAAGTGGGAAGAAAGCTGGAGAATCTTCTTGGAGCTGGAGGTGAACTTATTAAATAGAAAATGAAAATTTGCAACAAGTCTCTCCTGTCCAATAAGTTCAGTCTGTATGTCTGGTTACTCACAACCCAGTAGTCTGAATCAATGGTTCCCAAATATTTTTGCTTCTCACATTATAACCCCAAGTTTTGCTAGTTGAAATATCCCAACAATGCTAATAAACTATTTATACTGATGGCATAAACAACCATAACAAATATTGTATTTTTGTTTTTGGCTCCTCTTCATTCATAAATAGTAAGCACAACATAACTAATTACTATTAAACTTATTAGAAAAAAACATATTTGAAGCTACAGCAGCAGTGTAAGGAATAACTAGATTCAACAACTGGGAGGAAAGAAGTTTATTTTAAAGTGCAGTTCCCATTTTTATGCAGGGTAGCAGAACTTAAAACCTTTTTATGCTCATCCCATGGGGCTTTCTGTACCCCACTTCAACAGTGCTGAACATGAATCATTTTTATCACTTTGGTCATTTGTAGAAAAAGGCCACGGATCCAACAAGGTTCACCAACAGAGGAGGAAACCTACTGAAAGAAGAAAAACAGAGGTCAGAGCTGCAGAAAAACCTGCCAAAGGTAAGACATAAACCCACTGTAGATTCTCTAAGGGTCCAAGAGCTGGTATGTTTTTCACCGAATCCTGATGTTTTTGTGTTTTTTAAGCTTGAAAAGAAATTAAAAGAGCAAATAGATGCTTGGCAGAATGAACAGGGCCAGGAGTTTCTGGTGAATGGTCAGGAGTTTCTGCAGTATGTGGCTCAGCAGTGGGAGCTGCACCACGTAGAAAAAGAGAACGAGAAACTTCAGAGGGTGGGCAGTTTGTACATTCTTCTCTCAGCTCTGTGCTCACTCAGAAATGTTAACTCTTTGTCTGTGCAACACCTCCACAGCAGCTAAAGAAGACCAAGCAGACGGAGGAGGACATGCTGTACGGAACCACTGTACGAACGCCAACGAAGCGCAGATTCCTCAACACTCCTTCCTCCTCCAAAACAAGAAAGGTGACAAACTCTTCTGACTGACTTTATGTAAGGACCTAAAAAAAAGTGACGATCCTGAACCTGGTCCAGTTCTCATACCTGAGTGTTTATTTGCACACACAAAGATTATCACAGCGTTGTGACATAATGCCTTCCATCATGAGTTTTTACAATGTTAATACAAAACCTGGTCATATAGAAAACAAGGAAGTAGCCTTAAAACAGTCGTACATTCCTGGAATCTAAAACGTTCTGTTTACACTGTTGAAGGAAAGCACATGTGATACAGAGACTTGATTACAATCCATCATAAAGTAGGGCTGGTCGATTATTGATCGAGAAAACATTCAGGTGGATCACGGTGATCAGCTGTGAGCCTCTTCCTCGATCAAACATGGCGGAAATGTGAGTGACAACAGCCAATCAGAATCCACCTCCTCCTGCTCCACTTCTATTTATAAACTGCTAATGAAAAACAGACGGAATCGCAGAAATAACCAAAGTAATCCAGCATAAAACGCTGAATCTCAGAGTTCGCTTATTTGGACGAGTTTCTGAGGTATTTTGGCCACTGTCTCTTCCTGTACCTGCTGTTATCTGCTAACAGACACGCAGGGTGAGCTCTGAGCTGCCCTCCCGATGAGGGAGAGGGAGAGGGAGGGGGGAACAAAGGAAAGAGAGTCGTGATCTAAAACAAAAGTGTCCTCTAAAAATATGAAGCGGTCTTAGGGTAATTTTTAGAACAGAGCAATGGGCCTCATGCAAGAACATGTTCGTWTTCTTATCCTAAATTTCTCTTACTTTTGTTCGTATGAAGGGTTCGTACGAACATGTCACGTCAGATTCAACAAACTCTTCTATCTTCAGGAAAAGTGTGTAAATGAGCTGCGTAAATTCCACCTGTTCGTATCCAGCTGCTCGTGCACGCGAGAGGAGATTAGCATAATTACCACCCCAAAAACACCATATAAGGCTATGATTCCTGCCTCAGATACAAGGAAGTGTCCATTCATGAAAAATGACAGCGAAAACTGAAAAAATAAAAACTTTACGAGTTCAGAGATTGAAGTCCGTCTGTCAGAGATCCAGAAAAGAAAATCTGTCATTTTTAGCAGCTCAGCTGTGGGATAAAATGAGCTGCTAAAAGTATAAACAACTGTGTTAAATCATTTTCATTTATTCAGAAGCAGCAGCGCTGCACACCGTGTGTCCCCCCCCCAGCGCGCTGTGCGGCGCAGGTGGTCTCAGATGCGGGTTTGAAATAAGCATTTTAAAATGTTTTCAAAATAAGTCTGGCACTTTGGAGAAAATCCAGGACTTGATCATGTATCCCCTCTGGCCTGGGAACGTCTTGAGTCCTCCAGGACGAACTGGAAGGTGTCGCTGGAGAGAGGGGGTCTCTTTGCTGCTGCCACCGAGACCTGATCCTGGATAAGCGGTGGAAAACTGACGAGTGGACAATTTATATTGTTAGTCTAAATTATTACATTTAAAATTATAACTCTAATTCAAGCAGAATAGCCTATTGTCAACATAATTATGGAGTGTGATTTATTTTCAACTCAAAATATCTTCAAACTAATGAAATATAAAGTTATTAGGGAGGAAAACCCGTCTGGATAACAGCAGACTGACTGCTCATAAAATGCACGACAGGTCTGGACCACTCGTGAATTTTGTTCGTATCTGAAAAAAATCTTAGAATACGAAAACATTGGTGAATGCCACAAATTCTCCTAAATCACTCGTACGCACAACTTAAGAACAAATCTGTGCGTACGAACGGTTCTTGCATGAGGCCCAATGTCCCAGCAGTTCTTCATTTATCTGGAGAAGAACTTTTCTGTCGGTTTTATCGACATGATGGGCTGGACGCGACGTGAAGACCACTTCCTGTCTGAGTCTCATCACAAACAGCAGCTGAGAGACGCTGCAAACTCCTGAACACTCAGAAGCTGCGAGTTTATCCAACATGTTGTTGTGTCTGCAGAATCAGATATTCTTTCAGAGAAAATGAAACGGCGTTGTCTCTTTGATAAAGCTCTGTAAACAGGAGGGGGTCATGGGGTGGGGGGTTCCTTCCATAACAAAAGTAAATAATGAGCTTAGATCCTATTCAGTTGGCAAGTGTGCACCAATTGCTGCTGTTTGTAGGTTTATGTTTCTTTATGGCATATCTAATGCGAAATTCAATTCTAAAACTTTAATTTTACAAAAGGATAACTATTAATGTGAGATTCTTTGATTTACACACGAAAGTGTGTTTTTTATTTATTTATTTATTTATTTTGTAAATCCCTTTAATACTTTGGAAAAATAATTTCATGTTCTACTGAATCACAGCTATTTGTTATATTGGTGAAAGTGAAATAATATTTTTTTAATTTCTGTAGCTATTTATTTGTTAAATTATTTCTTAGTCACTTTTTAATAATTAAAAAAATTGTGGTATTAATCGTGATCGGACGATACGAAAAAATTAATAGTTCTTTTTTTTTTGCCATATCGCACTGCCCTACAGTATAAGTTACAAGACTATTTAAAATTCAGTTAATCAGTCACAAAATATCTAGTTTCTTCAGCACTAACCCAGCTTCTGTCTCCTGTTCCAGTTTAATACAACGTCCAGCCTCTCCAGCGCCACCACAAACGGCACCCTGCGCTCTGCTTACGGAGGAACCGTCTGTCACTCACCTGTGTTGCGCCTCCCCCTCTCTGCAAACAAGGTTTGTCAAATATTTTAGGTTTAAAAAAWTTACTTGCACATTGTCATGGGGGGAAAAGTTCACAAAGAGCTCAGGAGTAGATTTCAGTCATTTAATGTTTAGAAAACATTTACTGGCAAAGAAAAGTCAAAATCACAGGAAAGAAAAAACCTACATGACATCCTGCCTGGGCTGCTCTGAGGACAGTAGAAAAACAGACGCTCAAGTCACAATAAAATGTGCTCTGTGTTAATAATACATGGTTCTGCCACTTCAGTGTACCAGCAGGCTTTGTGCCTTTTTAACTATGTGAAATGACATTTTTAAAASTGTTAGAATCTGTATGAACAAGCTGATTCTTTCCTGTCAGACACACAGGTTTTCTCTGTGTCTCTGTTAGCTAAATATCTCAGGAACCACTGGTTGGATTTTAATAAAACTTTCATAAAGTAATCTACAGCTGATTTTTTTAAGTTTTCAAGTCACCCATCATGCTGCAATAACTAATGGTCATTGGCCAACACACAAAGGGATTTTGAACAGAAATTTAGCTAAATTTTGATGAGGTAGAAGCTGAAAATCATTAAACCATCCTCTCAACATGGCGTTTCACACTTTTTCATCAGATAAGATTATTTTCAAGGTTTGACCAAAATCACCACAACTTATTTCATGATCTCAAGTCTAAAACTGTGGCATGAAAGGTGGTGGGTGATGTACATTCATTTATTTAAGAAAGCCTTCAGTTATAATATTTTGGTAATTTTACTTTTCTTATTGTTATTTAAGCTTATATTTTAAAATGTCACCTCCATGTAAAACTCTTTATTCTCATCATGAATCTGAATTTTGGTGTCTGTGTTCAGTCTTATTTTAAATCCTGCATCTGATGCAAACCGTTTCTGTAATGCATCTTCCAGGCTCAAACCTCAAAGACACCAGGTGGCGGTAAGCCCCCCAACCCAAGGGTTCAGGGCTGCAACAAGGAGAACAAAGCCCAGCTGAACGGGACCCCTCTGAGTGGTGCGTTGCAGACCCCACCTTGTCCACAGCTTAACCTCAGCATAACATCTGTTGCCAGCACATATTCAGAGTTTGTGGTAATTTACACTTTTGTCTCTAATGTTCCCCCCACCCGTGCTGTGCCAGAACAAATATAAGCACCTTGTGTAAAGTAATGTTGAAAGTCTTAATTATGTAAATTCTATGTTTTAGAGGGACTTGGTCAACACTGAATCCGTTAAATCAAGGTGTGTTTTGAATCCTAAAAACCTRTGAACTAATCCTTGCATTTTATTGCATATTTCTTGTCAAAAAGAAAACAAATTTTTATCATCTTGTCTGAATTAACATGATTCAGGGAGTTAACAAATCACTTATTGTTTACAGAGACATAAGACAGAATAAACCACATTTTAACCAGTGGAAAGTATGGAGAAATATCAGACTTTCAACTGTCTTTTTCTCTCTAGTGGTTTCTCCCTCAATGATATCTCAAAAACAAAAACCAGACGAAACACATTTTACTTTCCAGTAAATTCAGTAACTTTCTTCAGGCTGTATGTTTTTTAAAAAAATTTTTAGTTTTATGTTCATTTATTGGTTTCCAGACATGGAGAGTTAATGATGCTCTGGTTATAAACACATCCTGTTATATTTGGCAAAAGTAATGACTAGTTAGCTTAACAGCTGCACTAATAATTTATTTATTATTAAAATGAGGCAAGACACAATATAACAATTATTTTACCAGAAATGAAGATTGTGGTGAAGTATTTGTGTTTACTAAACAGGTTGATTGATGTACCGGTAGATAACTGTGGTACAAGCTGTACTAGTGTGKGGCAGAAACTGATAAGCAAGTGTATAAAAGGCTGCTACTTTGTTTTTGAAAAACTATACCTCCTGTGTACACATCTACCATGAGAATTATATTTTTTTCTATTTAGCGGTGTTTGTAAAAGTGCTTTCACCAAAAATACAATTTGTGTGTGGGCAGGAGTTGCAAATATGGCAGAAACTTTTTTTCTTGATGGGGGTATTATGTAATTTACAGACACACAGTTCAATTCCATATCACAGTCAAGTAACTGTTATCTTCAGTTGTTATGAACACATTGTAAATAATGTATCAAAAGTAAATTAGACTTAGCATCATAGMTTAAATAAACACCTTGAATGTGGCCTTAGTCGCTTTAAGAACCTCCTACGGTTTCAGACACTTCCACTTCAGCACRTTTTTCAAACAGTGCCATGGGGGCGGAGCTCATCTCCAGACTGAGCTCCAGGGAGGAGCTATGTACAAATAGGCGGAGCTTTGTACMAACTATTTAGGCAGCTCCACATGATTACCACAAACATGCATCTYAAACGTGCAWGAATGAGTCAAAGCAACAYTCTGGGTATGTTTTAGATGAGAAAATGACATTAGAACATGATATAAATCTTCAACAAATGTTTTAATTTGCATTAAATCCCCCTTTAAATTATCTATTTGGATTAGTGTAAACAGGGTTTAGCCAGAGATTATCTAATATATTTTTAATAGCCTCTTTTTAGAAAACAAGGCTGCCATTATACAACAGCTTTGTGGCAAATATTGCCAAATTACCATCAGTCGGACAGTTTTGGCTGCAAGAAATTTAACCTCAAGGGTGATACTGAAATGCCACTAAACTTCTTGTTGCCTATTTGCTAGTGATTTTAAAATTGAGTTTCTTTGTGTGACAGTTTTCTAACTGAACCGAACACAATGCAACATTTAGAGTCCCTATGAAACCAAATCTAATGTGYCATAGTAACTGAAGTGTCTCCTTGCTAACATCCAGCTGGACAATTATATAAAAAGACAGTCTTGAAGGAGACACAGCAGTGGCTTTTAACCAGAGATCTCCAAAAAAAAAAAATACACACTGAATGACTGTCAGCTGTCAGCATGGCATACAAGAGCTTTTAGAGGAAACAATAAAAACACATGAGCCATTAAAAATCAAAGGGTGGTTTTATGGGAACTCAAAATGATTTGCATGTTTTCTGTTTGCTGGTTTGTTTTTAAGCGTCTGCTGGTTGTCTTGGTGTACTGAAACAGTCAGCCTTACAACTGCTCTTCTTTTGCCCCACAGCGAGACCTGTCCAAGGCCTCTAACACCAAAGACCAGCCCAACATCCTGAACTCAACCACAACCAACCATTGACCTCTTCATTCTGATGGGATCATTATTGGTCCTCCAAWTAAGTTCAGGTGTCATTATTGATCCCAGCTATTGTTGTCATTGAGTTTTATTTGTAGATGAAGGATATTACTGAGTGTTTTTATATTGGTGATTTAATAAAACAAAGGAATCTGTCATTAGATGCTGATGGGGCTATCGTTGTTTGATATGCCACTGTCCAAAAAATGTATTCTAAATTAAACAAACACTACTTTAGTTCTCAGACTTTTCCAGTTATTGAGACGCATTAATATTGTCTGTATCTTAAGCTGCACCTTTTTTTTTCTTTATAAACTAATGAAAGTGTAACTTTCTGAAGTTATGCAATCGGGGTTACAGTCCAAATGTATTATGAATACACCGCACTTTTTATATATGTATATATCTTGCAACACGCATTGTAGAGACGTACACTGTTCCTCCCAAATCTGTTTTATTATAAATGGACCTTTTTGTTGTGTAAATATTTCTGAATCTGCTGTTCTTTTTAGGAAGTGCTCTTCCACAGAGATTTTAAGCCATTAAGACTCTTATCTTAATGGATGATCCAGTCACTTAGATTTTATATCTTGATTGGTTTTAAAAAGCTTTTTGAAATAAAAGTGTAAAAAAAAAATTACTGATGACATTTTTTTTGGYCAGTTGTTTATTTCTGTTATATTTATGTTTAGGTTGCATTACCATTAGCAAAATGATGTAGAAACAAACAAAGATCATTAATGTTATCACGAAAAACWGATATGAGGAGACTTGGAAAATTTCATCATTTTGTATTTTGATACAGCTAAGATTGACAAAAATAATGTTTGACAGTCAGAAATCAGAAGTTCTAGCTTAAGTTAATAGCTCTACAGAAACCTGTTTGTTGGTGAAACAAAAAAAATGTACAAATATTTTTGTGTATACGGAAGCTGAGAGCAGCAGTTTTCTGCATAGAATTATTTTTCCATGGAAAATACATATGTCGTTATCATGAGGACCGTTTTCTCGAGATAACGAGTTAATTTCCTGGTGGTTTTCCTCTCGTGCATCATTCAGATGGCCTGGTCCCCTCAGCTGGTCATCGATTAACTTTGCTATTTATTTATTTGTTTATTTACTGCTTTTTAACCAGGCAAGTCCCGTTGAGATCACAGATCTCTTACAAGGGCAGGCTGGGTCTTAAGGCAACCTAGTGTATAAATTTGTCATTTTTGCATCATTACACAGACTAATTAAAGTTTGTCTTGTACAGATAACTTTCATATCAGCCCTCATCATTTAAGGAGCTGGCTGGCCTGACTGCTGATCAGCAGGCGTTTACTCAGTGATCTTTCTGATATAATAAACTTTATTGGTGACCAGGTGAGAGGATCGGGCCATCTCCATGGTTACTGAATGATGCACAGAAAATCATAAATCGTAAGCTGGAGAAAACTATTGAGAAATTAACTCGTTATCTCGAGAAAATTGTCATAAATAAAACTATGTAACAAAATTTTATGCTGAAAACGGCCGTTCTCAGCTTCTGTATTGTATCTTTTTCTCAGATGTTACATGTTACTGACTGGTATATCTTGTGAGATCATTTAAGACAAATGTCTTATTTCTATGGCCATAATAAGTAGGCTTTTGACTGTAAAGAACTATTGTTCAAAATAAAACTTACATCTTATTTACTAGAAAAAACACATTAAATTGAGATTACATAAATGTGAAAAAGATTGACTTTGTTTTTATTTGTTAAGAAACAACTATTGTTATTGTTATTGGACTGTTATTATTTTTTTTAATGCGTGAGGAAATTATTTTGAAGGACTGAAACCGGAAGTTAGACAAGTGGAGCAACCTGAAATAAAATCCTCCAGGAACACATGCAGTCAGGTTTCAGAGACAGGCTAAAGTTTAAAACAGGACAGGAATGACATTTTAATCGTGTAGAAGCAATTTTCCCTCGACAGCTCCACCATGTCCGGAGCGTTAGCGAGGCTGCTCTTCTACCCGACTTTAGGCTACAATGTTCTCATGGAGAAAGTGTCCTCGAGGCGGTGGTTCGACCGGGTGGACGACACGGTCATACTGGGGGCTCTTCCGTTCAGGTCCATGACCAAACAGGTCAGACTGTAACGGCCTGAGGGCTGCTGTTGTTACAACTAAAACTAGCATTTATATCCATCCGTAKTGGGAACTACAAGCACGTCATTGTGTTTAGCTGTAATAATCTATGGACCAGAAACTTTAAAACTAGTATTGGAATGAACAAAAATAAGCTCACAAAAAGTAGAATAAATTTTAAAGGGAACTTGTTGTAGAGTTAGTGTTTGACTGCAGCCATTCATGAAATAAACAGGTGTCATCCAACTCATACACTGTGACATGGATATACTACATTGTACTGTAAAATATATTCTGGTTACATACCTGTACTTCAGTCTAAATGTCCAGATGACAGTGGCAACAGTAAGAACTGTCTGCAGCTACTCACAATGTCAGCCCATGGTTGATGACATGATCAACTAAGGTTACTCTGATTTCATATGATAGTTGTCTTCTTTATCCATGAACTCCTCTTCCTCCCCCTCTCATTCTCACCCTCCTCTTTCTCTCTCTGCAACATCTTCCATTGTTGTTGTAAGAGATGATCTTATAGTGCTCCTGAGTGGAGTGTTAAGCACTCAGGTGTTTGGCCAGTTAGCTCATGTATTGTCATTTTGAACGGCAGTGTTTTGAAATAGCAAACRTGTGACTTTCTGTCAGATTGTTGTGTGTTATTATGCAGAGAGCTGTGTTCAGTCCATTTAAAAAGTGCCATTTTGAATAGTAAAATGTGTGAAAATGAAAATGTGTTTTGACTTTTGGAGACTTGAGAGGAGGATTTGCTCTTTGTGTGTCAGTTAAAATAAGTGTGCTATGGATGTCATTTTAGTGTGTTAGCAATTGTAAAAAACTGTAAGCTCGTTACCTGTATTATACTAGCTTGAGAAAAATAATGGATAAAATAAATGGAACAATAAGAAGAAATGTAAGCAAATTAATCATAGGAACAAAACAGTATAATTTGTGAAAATTTAACCTAAATCCATTTTATTTATAGATTTTTAGTTAATTTGCAAAGTTAAATATGTTTGAACACATCATGAAAAAAGATGTTTCTGCACTCTACAAGATGAAGTGTTGAATTTACTCAACAAAGTCATGTTGGCTAAAGTCATGGCTCCACTAAGCCTAGTCGAGTAATTTGAGCAAAGAAAATAAATATATTGCTCAGTTTACTCAAACTGGCTTAGTGGAACCAGTTTAGTTCAGTAAATTCACTGGTTTATTTCTTAGAGAGTGTGTAAAAATACTTTCACTTTCCCAATTTTTGTTTTATGACTTTTACTTGAGTAGTTT